GGAGGCAGAGGCAGGCGGATCTCTGTGAGTTCGAGACCAGCCTGGTCTACAGAACTAGTCCCAGGACAGGCTCCAAAGCCACAGAGAAACCCTGTCTCGAAAAAACAAAAAAAAAAAAGAAATGCAGCATCACAATGTTTCACTTTACATAGAGACCTTATATACTAGGGGCCCATTTGGTAGGTTTTATAGAGAAGGCCTTCATTTTGAGTTGCAACCAACTTTCCTTTTTAAAATGATAGTAAATTATATATTTAGATATATTTTCAAAAGATGTCTTGTACTTCTGCCTAATGCTAATGATTTGGATATACGTCAGTCTCTTCAAGAAAACGAAGAGGAGGAGATTGGGAACTTAGAGCTTGCCTGGGATATGCTGGATTTAGCAAAGATCATTTTTAAAAGGTAAAAACTTTTGGTGCTTTTAAGTAGATTGGTGGTTGAAAATGCAAAAGCACTTTAGGATTAGACAATTATTTTTAAGGTTTTTCTAATTACCTTTCTTTTTAGGCAAGAAACAAAAGAAGCTCAGCTTTATGCTGCACAAGCCCATCTTAAACTTGGAGAAGTTAGTGTTGAATCTGGTAATGCATTTTCCAATTTTGCTGTCTCCTAACTTCCTCCATGTCCCCATTCTCTTGTTTCTATAGACAGAAGAATAGGTCTGAGTTCCTTATAGTGCCTAGAGCAGTGAAACAGCCTTGTAAATGGTTTATCTGACAGTTAAACCAAACTTAGCAGGGGAAACAGATAGGAAGATCTTTGAGCTCAAGAGCAGTATGGTCTATGTAGCAAATTCTAGGCCACCCAGAGCTATAACGAGACCCTGTTTGGAAAGTTAGGAGGGAGGGAGAAATTGGAATGTAAAATGAGACTATTCCTGAACTGAATTATGAAAGTGCTTTATATTAAATGTTGTACAATTCTTGATGTTTTGTCTTCATTAGAGAATTATATCCAAGCTGTGGAGGAGTTCCAGGCTTGCTTAAGCCTCCAGGAACAATATTTGGAAGCCCATGACCGTCTCCTTGCAGAGACTCACTACCAGTTGGGTTTGGCCTATGGTTACAACTCTCAGTATGATGAGGCAGTGGCACAGTATGGCAAATCTATTGAAGTCATTGAGAAGAGAATGGGTGAGTGAACAGCAGCTACTTTATGCTTAGATGATGCAGCAATTTACTGTGGGGGGAAAACAAGGTCCTTTTGGTACTAATGATTTAAGCCTGTTCTTTGTAGCTGTACTAAATGAGCAGATGAAGGAGGCTGAAGGATCATTTACTGAATATGAGAAAGAAATTGAGGAGCTGAAAGAACTGCTACCTGAAATTAGAGAAAAGATAGAAGATGCAAAGGAGTCTCAGCGTAGTGGGAATGTAGCTGAACTGGCCTTGAAAGCTACTCTGGTTTGTTGAGTTTTTTCTTAAAATTTTCTAAATAACATGGTACCTGGGCTGCCCTGGACCTCACTCTGTAGACCAGGCTGGCCTCGAACTCAGAGATATGCCTGCCTATGCCTCCCAAGTGCTGGGATTAAAGGTGTGCGCCAGCACTGCCGGACTGTCCATGATGGAGTTGATCAGAATGAGAGGTCATCTCACTTGTTCCAAACAGTACAGTTGGTAGAAAGTATGCCATGTGCAGACACACTTGTTTAAAAGCTCTCACTGTTACTTTGTGTGGCCATCGGCTTTTCTTTGCTTTTCAGCATAAATACTATATTAAACTATTGTAAAATGTTTTTGACAATACCATATAGAAAAGGCTGAAGTCATGGAATCTCTTAAACCTAAATTACCTGGCTCCATTCCTGGCCATAGACATGCTTGCTGGGGAATGTTCTGTCAGAAATAGGACATGAAGGGTTTAGTTTCTTGTTTGTCTTTGTGTGGAAGACCTTGTGAGTGATGCTGAAACCTTTTAATCGATTGCTTGGTGGGTAACGTAAGCCTGGGTGGCTGGGGTTCTATGCTATAACTTACTGTGTCTGTGTCTCACAGGTAGAGAGTTCCTCTTCAGGTTTCACTGCTAGTGGAGCAGGCACCTCAGTCTCCATGGTGCGTATTGTGTGTGTGTTTCCTTCAATAAGCCTACTTTGAGTCAAATAAGGTTTTTGTAAATTGCTAATAACACTTATTTTTGCCAGATTGCCAATAGAAAGCCAACAGATGGTGCTTCCTCGTCAAATTGTGTGACTGATATTTCCCATCTTGTCAGAAAGAAGGTAAAATTTACATGTATTTATTTTTTAACCTTTTCTCCAGTCTACATTTGCGGGTAGGAAGTCTGAAATAATACACTAACAATAATTGATTCACCCTCTTAGTGGCACAGTGTAACACTCATTTTCAAAAGAGTGAATTTTTTTTTTGTTTTTGTTTTTTATTTTTTTCAAGACAGGGTTTCTCTGTAGCTTTGGGGCCTGTCCTGGAACTCCCTTTGTAGACCAGGCTGGCCTCGAACTCACACAGAGACCCACCTGCCTCTGCCTCCGCGTGCTGGGATTAAAGGCGTGAGCCATCACAGCCCGGCCAAAAGAGTGAATGGGGTAAATCTTTGCTTCTGTCTTTACTGACTGAAAGTAGGTAACCTATTTGTACTCTTCAGATCTCTACCCCTCACTCTCCCCAATTCCATGTGCCCCAACTAGGGAAATGTTAAGATAAAATACACTGGGACATAGCAGTTTATTCCACTGTGTAGTGGTCAGCATTGCCCTGTGCTAGAGAGCAGAGCTAGTGAGCTGTGAGTCAGGATGTTCAGGATATTAGCACCATGGGGATTACGGGATTATTTTGCAGCTTGTGTTTTTAAGATAAATATGAGGCCTTCACAATTGTATCTTTAGAGGAAACCAGAAGAAGAGAGCCCCCGGAAAGATGATGCAAAGAAAGCCAAGCAGGAGCTAGAGCTGAATGGAGGCAGTGGGGATGCTGTCCCCAGTGGACAGGAAGTTTCAGAAAACATGGAGGCTGAGGTGGGTAGTTTTTAAGACTTGGCCACTTGGCCTAACCTGCTGCTTTCAGGACTGGGAAGCCAGGCCTTCCAAGTGCATATGATATAATAACAGAATGGTTGTAGTGAATAGTTTGCTTATGAATGCCTGACAGATTTTATGATTTCTTTCATGAATTATGGAAAAGTAAGACTATTTGATCCTTCCCACGTAATGTGTGAACTGCTGGCTTTTTCAGCCTTAGCATCTTGTAGTTTTGTTTCATAGAGAAGTGCAAGCTTCCCTGTGTTTGTGACTGAAGCCTGCTACGTTATACATTATGGGATGGCTTATGTCATACCTTAAGTTATACCTAGGCTCTTTGTCTTTTAGGCTGAGAATCAGGCTAAGAGTCCAGCAGCAGCAGAGGGGACAGTGGAGTCTACAGCTACAGTTGAAGGCACTGCATGTTAAGAGGAAACAGAACCTTTCTCCCAAGGGAAAGTGGTTTTGTACATAATGTATTTTTTCACTTTTGGGGATTCTTTTTGTATAACTTCAATAAAGATTGTAGGCAACAGCTAAGGCTTTTATGGCTTTTTCTTAAATATAATATATGCCTTGGGGTACTAGGTTGTTTTGGTGTATGTGTTTACTGTGTATGTTGCTGTTGGACAACCCACTTCCTGTCTAATGCAGAGGTGATCAAATATGGCTAGATGTCCATCTGGTGCTAAGTTTCTACTTCCAAATACTTGGCTGAATTTTATTGTCTTGCACTTTCAGTGGTGCTGTTCCTGGATGGGGGGGGGTCTGCCAAACAAGAACTGGTAGGAATGTACTTGGTGCTGAAAATGGATGATTGGATATGAGCCAGGTCTTGGGTTGTACCGATTTTCTTTCACCTGGTTTCCAATTAAGACTATAATCCTATGCTGGAAAACTGATAAAACATGGGAAGTGATCCCTGAGGAAAACAGTTGGTATGTTAAATCAGAGACACAAGCTCTGACTGGAAAGGCTCAGATTGAGGTGGGGATAACTGGAAGAATCTGGAGGAGAAAGTCTGATCTGTACATAGTAAGGTTGCAGTATGTCAATAATTGGAATTGTTTTATTGTCTGCAGTTTTGCTTTAGAAAAAATAAATATGCTAACTAAAAATCTTTCTTCTGGAATAATACTTTTTAACAAGAAGGGTTCTGGGTTACCTGGAGTACCTCACTGGGATATGGGGTTGAGTGACAAGCTGTTCTGTCAGTTCTGGGTATTTAGTTGAGGTGCTAAAGGCCATCACATTGAGTGCAGGAAGTGGGAGCTGCCTCACACTGGCTCTTTTGTTTTTGTTTTTCCAAGACAGGGTTTCACAGTAGTTTTAGAGCCTGTCCTTGAACTAGCTCTTATAGACCGGGCTGAACTTGCAGAGATCCGCCTGCCTCTGTCTCTAGAGTGCTGGGATTAAAGTCATGCGCCATCACCATCCGGCTCTACTGACTCTTTCAAAGGCCAGTGTTGAAACAGACAGATCCTCCTCATTGCTGTTGGAGCATCATAGAACCTGGGGGCAAAGTAGTGTTGAGTGCGGATGGCATTGTGCTGAAATGACAGTTTTTGTGGTTTTTGTTTTTTTTTTTTTTTTTTTCCTCTCACAAATTATTTCTCTGGGCTGGTCACTAAGGCTTGGGCTCATCCTGACTTTGAACATTGTATTGTTCTGAGTCCTAAAGTTTCTTCATCTTTCCAGTTGGAATTGACTTGATATGACCAGTACAAGATCTTTGCTGATTGGATTTGTAGTTGTTCAGAATGCTATTCCAGTACATGATCTATTTGGCTGGAACCTTAAATCTTCAGGAAGCTTTGGATTGTGGATGGATAGATTTCTGTCTAGAAGTACTGATGAAGCTGGGACTGTAGTGAAATCTAACAATAAAGCTAGCTTTAGTAAAACCTAGCTATTTTCAGAGATTTGAATGCCAGGCAGTTACTTTGGATATCTGAAATCATTTACTCCTCAATCTGTTTTGCGAAAGGAAAATGTACAGAAAAAAACCTAGTTGGCTTGGTTGGAATTTATCTAAGGCTTTATTAAAAAACAAAAACTGCAGGTCAGGCTGGGCGGCGGTATCGCACACCTTTATTCCCAGCATTCGGGAGGTAGAAGCAGGTTGATTATTGAGTTTGAGGCCAGTGTGGTCTACAGGAGTAAGTTCCAGGACAGCTAGGACTATTATATAAAAAAGAATCCAGGCTCAAAAAAACCAAAAGAAAAAAAAAAGCTACAAGTCTAGAACTAGGCCTTCTGTCTCAAAAACTTGGTGGGTTTGGGTCAAAACTGGTGGGATCTCAAATGCTCATCTTCATCCGTGACACTGACGAAAGCCTCTTCTGTGGAAGGCTGGGGGTCTACAAAGCCAGGATTGTGGGAGAAGGAACTGGTTTCCAGTGAAGATGGATTGGATACCTGTAGAACATGAAAGGTAGTTGTTTTTTTTTTTTTTTTTGTTCTTGTTTTAATTTAAGCAGAACTAGAGGTAAAAAGATTGTGGAGTTTATCTGTGGACAAAGTCACAGAGAAGCAGGTTCTGCTACACAGTGTTTAATGGGTAAATTTTAAGGATCAAATGAGTTAATATAGTCACTGATGCATACTAGCTAATAGAAGCTGATCAGTCATACTTTCTAGCTGCAGTGGATTCTTACCAGTGGTGGGTACTGGAACTGGTACTCATGGGCACTTGCTGGATTGATCTCTGCCAATGTCTGGACATCTGCCTCTCTTGCATTCACCAGTCTCAGAAAGAGCTCAGCTTGACCTGCCTGGGAAAAGGAAGAGTGGTCCTCCATCTGAAATGAATCTTGGAGTAGACCCAGTCCTACCCTCCACACGTACCTGGGGAATTTCATTCTGGCCAAGACTGAGGTTGGAGTTAGGAGGAAGGACCTGAAGTGGGAGGCGCCAACGCCCACTAAGCATCTGCTTATCTTGGTCAAATAGCAATAGTGAGGCCCAAGCCTTTGGTTGTGGTGCCCATGTAACACTCTGCCAGGCATGTAGTTCACAGATCAAAGATACCAGTGGTGATGGAGGCAATCTGTAGAACAACCAATGCCATGTAACACTAAGCCAAAATACCTTCTTAGGGCTTTTGTCGTTCTGAGCCCTCAGGAGCACCTGTGTACAGATTTAACAATGAGGTGAGGCCTTCATTACTGACAGTGACTGACCTGGGTACAGGCTGCCTGCTTGCAAGGATGGCACAGTTGCCCATAGGTCCAGGAGCTGACGGTGGTGGTAAGCAAAGGGCTGGAGGCAATGCTGTGGTCCCTCCTGTATTCTGTCCATCCTGGACCAATCTTGTCAATAGCTGCACCCAAACCCAAGAAGCCTCAAGGCCCCATAGGAAGTCATAGAAAATGACAAGGCCATCCCTGAAGAATACAAATCTAAGCACACAAATCAAATCCTCCCGTTCTCCACCCCCAGTCTACTTAAATGTCAGTAGTGGCTGAGTTAAAGAGGCTGTGAAGGAGAGAGCTGCCCTCACCCAGGATCATATGGTGCAGGGCCTAGAGCATCGGATGCTGGTAGGAAGAAGTGGCGATCCAGACCTAAGGTCCTTGTCATGGTTCCATTAACTATCTGCTGTGGACAAGAGTTTAACCATACAGAACTGCAAATTGCCCATACTCCCCAAACTGCATGCCAGGATTGCCAGTTTCCTCACAGATGTTGAAGTGTCATGGAAATTCTGGACATTTGTTGAACTTGGCATTGGGAGTGCAACTGGTGGAAGGAGGAAGGATTTATCACCCCTTCTACTCAGGTGCGGCCAGGGATCAGCTAGGAGCTGAGGCTCCCTGTGTCCTAGAAACAGAAAAAGTTGGTTTGAGCTAGAGGAACTGAAGTGAGAAATCGGTAAAATAGTTATATACAAAAGGCACAAGGATAGATGCATAGACACAAAACGATGATACACACATGGGCCTCATTCTGCAGGCATGGACCCTTCACCCCTTCTCCTGGGTTGAGTATCTTGGTATGGGCTAGGAAGGAGCTGGGTTTTCACTTACCCCAGGGCGCCAGACTCAGGCCCTTCTTCTGCAAGGCCTGTATTTCTGCCTCTAAGAGCCGGTTTTCGGCTTCCACCACTAGAAGCTCCTCAGAGATGGCAGTTACTTTTTCTGAGATGAAGTAAAGTGACGTGTCATCCTTTACTCTCTGTAGTTCTCCAACATTAAGGTTTTCGGTGCAAGTCCGAATTTACCAGCTGACAAAAGGTTTTCCTACCTTGACCTCAGGCAGCTCCCACGCTAGTGGTTCCCTCCCTCACACACTTTTCTCCTCCCAAGCCAAGGACTTCAATGTGCAAAGGCTCTCTAGGCTTGCCCCTCCTCCTGCTCACCCTTGCGATTCTGCCACCGCCTCAACTCCAGGGCTGATGCCTCCACTTGCAGTTGCCATATTTTGTCCAAAACTCCGGGGTCCCGGCCACCACCGCTCACGTAGGCCTCACGTAGGGCCCTAGCAAGGAGGCAGCAGAAAGCAGTCTCCCCAGCCTGAACAGCTTCCCACCCCTATGCCCCATTCCCCGGGCTCGGGACCTCACTGGATCTCTGCAGGCAGCGTTCCTGGCTTGACCGGCGCGGGCGGACATCTCTCTGCTCCCTTAAAAGAGTCCCTCTGGATGCTGACGCAGGGAGGTGATGTCACGGACCCGCGACCAATCCCGAGCCCAATGCCCCGCCCCACTCGCGCTCCGCAAGGTTCCGCGGGAGTCTCACCGGGGCTGTGACTGTAGCGCTAATATGCGCGCCCCCAGCCTTTGCAGAGCGCCCCGTGTCCGGCCGGCCTCTGCCTTGAGTTCTCGGAGCTCGCGCTGCAGGCCGAATGGCGCGGGTAGTCCTCCCATGGGTCCCGCTACGCCAAGGAGGCGCCGTTTTAGCTCTGAGGGAGACAGGGGCCGAGTCAGGTGAGTCTAGCACAGCGGCAAGGCCCCGCGGCGACGCCTCCCTACCTCTCACCCGCTCCGCGGCGCTCCAGGGCCTGGCTTTGCGCTTCTGTCTCTGCCACGCGCCTAGCGCGGGTTCCCTGCAATGTACGCAACCTCTCGCCAGGGCTCCCTGCAGTCTGCGAGGTGGCACCCTCAGTCGCCCAGGGGCGCATTTCCTTTAGGGACAGTCTCAGCAACTGCACCTGCAGGTAATGGGACCCGCTAGCTCTGAACTGGGTGATCTCCCTCAAGTGTTACCTATAGGTATGAAGTTTGTATCTATGTTGGGTGTAGGTGGGTGTGTACCTCCTCTGTCAACCTCTTTAGAGCAGATTTACTGGCCTCTTCCTGCTCTGGATGGCTCTGTTGCTCTTGTGCCACAATCTGGGGGCAGGGAGAAGACTTCTGAGAATCCTGCTTGCTGGAAAACCTACCCCAACCATTGACGACCCTTACCGTGGTGCCCCGTTGTTCCATGGCTACTGAAGGCTGTGTTCCATGTGTCACCTCCGGAGTCAGCCGACCAATGCAGAATCGCTGGGTGTGGGTGGCCAACAAAGCCCAGGAGCGGAAAACCATGTCACAGGACTCACAAGGCAGAAATCCGGACTCCCCAGAGTAATCGGCCATGGGATGGGATCCCTTAATGACACCAGTGGAGTCCTATAGAGGGTATAGCAAAAGGGAAAGAGAGAAAAGGCCAACTCTTAAATCTCCAAGATCTTCGAATTTATGTTTATGTTTGGGGAGGAGCCCTAGCTCCCTGGGCAGCAAGTACAGGCCTAAACAGGCCAGAACAATGTCCCTTGCCACCTTTGGGAGGAGCCCCAATTGAGAAAGTCTCAGTCTGTTCCATCCACTGCATGAGTTTGGCCAAGTTTGGCAGCAACTTCGATTTCTTTCCTTACAGAAAAGGCAGCACCTTTGCCTAACTTTGATCACTTCATAGCCTGTGGCAGGCAAGTGTTGTCTATCACTGATGTTCTCTGAAGTGAACAGGATTCAAGCTAGTGCTTTTCTCCACTGCAGGGAACACCAGAAGCTGCAATCTGTGTGCCTCTAAGCAAACACAGAATTACCGGCTCCAGCTGTAGTCAGAATCAAAGACTGGTCAAATCATCTGTGCATCTATCAGGATTGTAAGCAGTCACCAAAGCACTCCTTTTCTAAACAAGATAGGGTCCTGAAGGTGTTTGCCGCAAATACCCCAAATGAGGAACAAGTTATGAAGTGTGTAAAAAAATACTCTCAATTTAGTTCAATTCCAAAAGAGAAAAAGATCAATTTAGATTTGTTATGAAGACAAACTGGTAAATGGCTAAGCCTACTTCTCAACCCCAAGTTTGATGTCCCCCCCCCCCAACATTCTTAACTCATTGATTTAAAGGTGCTTTTTGTTGTTATGTATATGGTTATTTTGTATGTTTGTGCACGAAACACATGCAATTCCTGAGGAGGCTAGAAGAGGGAGCCCCTGGATGTTGTATAATTTTAAGATGTGCTAATTTGCACTGTGGAAAATTTTTTTAGCGATGCAAAGATGTGTTGCATTGGTTTAACTCTGTGAAGCTGTGTTATTTTGCCTGTCTAAAACACCTGATGGTCTAATAAAGAGTTGAACAGCCAATAACTAGGCAGAAGAAAGGGTAAGGCAGAGCAGGTGGGCAGAGAATAGGAGAGAAGGAGGAGCAAGACAGAACCAGGAGAGGAGGACATCAGGGACCAGCTGTCCAGCTTCACAGCAAGCCAGAGAAAGAAGTAAATAAAGGTATACATACAGAAATAGAGAAAGGTAAAAGGTAGATGAGATAACTTAAGAGAAGCTGGCTAAAAATAAGCCAAGCTAAGGCTTATTGTAAGACTAAGACTCAGTGTGTGTAGTTTATTTGGGAGCTGGGTGTCCTCTTCTTGTTTTCTTGCCTCCTGTTTTCTCCTCTCTGCCTGCCAGCCGTGACTATCCTTTCTCCTGCCTCACTGTTGACTGTCCAGCTCTTTTTATTGGACAGCCAAAGAATCACAGCTTCACATAATAAAACAAGTGTAACACAAATACATCTTTGCATCATTAAATGTTCCACAGTATAAACAAATTAACACATCTTAAAATAATATTCTGCAACACATGCTGTAGGCACATGTACAACTCAGAGAATAACTTGTGGGAATCAGTTCTAGCCTTCTACCACCTCGTGATCCCAGGGATTGAATGCTAGTTGTCAGACACAGGGCAAGAAGCACCTTAATCCATCTCGATGGTCATCTTTAAGATTTGCAAATGGCCCCCTTAATGATACCGCACTGCAAGCAGCACAGGCTGCCGCATGCTCTTCCCCAGTCTACCTTCCGGCTAGTTCACCTCTCTCCTTTCCTCTGGTTTGGCCGACAGTTTCTTTTAAATACGGCACTCCAGCTTATATATCGTTCATCCCTGTCTCATCAATACGATATTGCTTTGCATCTACTAGGGACAGCAAAAGGATGCTATGACGGATACCTAGCTCTTAGCACACAGAACTTTGTTCTAAGTTTTCATCTTTTCTAAAAACTTCATTGGCCACTGGCCAGAGATAGCTCAATCATGCCCCATGCACCCAGTTTTTTTTTTTTTTTTTTTTTTTTTTTTTTTTTTTTTTTTTTTTTTTTTTTTTTTTTTTGAGACAGAGTTTCTCTCTGTAGCCTTAACTGTCCTGGAACTCTTGTCACTGCCTCCCAAATGCTGGAATTAAAGATGAGCACCACCACCACCTGGCTCCCAGTTCTTATGAAGGAGGAAACCGAGTCAGAACTCCTTTAACACGCAGAAAGCACCCAAACCCACGCACACTGGGGAATCCTTGGCACTAAAACATTCTTTCAGGAAAGAAAATGTAGTTTATTATGAATAATTTATTGCACAGGTTCTTCTGCATTGAAGTTTTTGCTAAAAGGAACAGGAATTTAGGTGGGGCGGAATTCCGTTTTCTCCCAGACTTCTAAAAATATTTCCCCTAAAAAAAAATCCACTCTCTAATTTTAAAGAAAATATATTTCTTACACAAGACAATCCAAACTGATGCAAAATATTTATTCCACGTTAGTTATTTTATGCAGTAGTTCCCCTCAACAGACTTATGACAACCACATCTTTTAAATCTGTAAATAATGTTATCAAAATAATCTTAATCTTTGAAATCTCACAAAATTCATATTTTACAATCCACCCTGAATATCAAGGCTGCAAGAATAACATTTCCTATATCCAAATATTTTACAGCTGTACCCAAAAAGAAATAAAAAACAACAACAAAAAAAATAAAACAAAAACAACCACATATGCCTGGTTAAGGGCTAAGTTGCCCGAGCAGCCAAAAATAAAATATCCAAATTATTAGCATTAATTTAATACAATTATAACTTCAATAGTCACTTTGTCATTGACAATGATTGCTTGAGCACAGGGGTGAGTGCCCAAGGGCTGGTAGTGGGTGCTGTGGTCAGAGCAGCATCTCCCTGCATCTCTGCACTGCCAGCTCCCACTTGTGCACGGCCCCACAGGTACTGTGTGTGTGCTTAAAAATTCCACCACACAGATGTCTCTCTATTAAGCAGATAACAAAGAATAACAACAAAAGTTAAGCAAGACAATTGTTCTCTCTTTGGGATATGATTATTTCCCTTGTGCATGAAGTATTCAACAACGTAAGAACAGGAAAAGAACACTTTTTATATTCTCTAAACACAAAGCTGAGCTCAGTGGGGCAGGTCAACGGTGAGCACTTATATTTCTACTTCCAGGCATCGTCATCTGACGTCTCACTGCTGCTTGTTTCTGTGTCGGAATCCTCACCCTCTGCATTCAGAGTGCTTCTCCACGGGGAGAACAGGCTGGAACTGCGGCTCAGCAACAAGCCGTTCTTTCCAAACCCATTTCTTCGTAGCTATGGAACATAGGAGAGAAAGAAAACATTTTTAACATCTCTTGAAGAACTTTTTAAATTTAAATGCAAAGATGAACCTTACAAGGATTTATTTCATCTGTCATATTTAGAAACAGGGTCTTAACTATGTAGCCCTGGATCGCCCTAAGTAGACCATGCTGGCCTCTGCCTCAAGTGCTGGGCTGAGCCTGAAGATGTATGCTACTACACCTGGGTCATCCAATCAAGTCACAGTCTAAGCAGGGCAGTGGTGGCACACACCTTTAAATCTAACACTTGGGAGGCAGAGACAGGTGGATCTCGGTGAGTTCGAGGCTAACCCAATCTATAAAGTGGGTTCCAAGACAGCCAAAGTTCTTACACAAAGAAATGTGGTCTCTGAAAACCAAAACTAACAAAACTAAAACCAAAATCAAACAAAACAAACCCACCACCACAAAACTACAGTCTAAGCATGTACTATGTACTGTCTGTGGGGTTTTAGAGCCCTATTTCAAACAGTTCTAAGTGGTAAAATCTTATGTCAGCCTGTACACTGGCTCCATTATGAGATTTCCTAGGTATCACTTATGCTTTAAATATTATCATTATTACCGTCCCCCCCCCCTTTCCCACAGAGTTTCTCTGTGTATCCACACTGGCTGACCTGGAACTCTGTAGTTCAGGATGGCATCAAACTCAAGAGACCTGCCTGCTTCTGCCTCCTGAGTGCTGGGGACTAAAGGTATGTGCCACCACTGCTCAGCAAAGATTTATTTTTCCCATCTTTTATTTTACATGCCAACCACAGCTCCGTCCCTCTTCCTACCTCCTTTCTATTCAGCCCCCACCATCCACTCTTCAGAAAGCATAAGACTTCCCAAGAGCAGATAACAAAGCCTGGCATATCAAGCTGAGGCAGGACTAGGCTCCTCGCCCCTGCATCAAGGCTGAGCAAGTTATCTCACCATAGGGAATGGGTTCCAAAAAGCCATCTCATGCACCAGTGACAGATCCTGGTCCGACTTCAGCCAAGATTTTTATTTATTTTTTTTAAAGATTTTATTTATTTATTATGTACATAGTGTTTCCTTGCATGTTTGCCCACAGGCCAGAAGAGGGCATCAGATCTCAGTATAGATGGTTGTGAACCACCATGTGGTTGCTGGGAATTGAACTCAGGACCTCTGGATGAACAGTCAGTGCTCTTAACCTCTGAGCCATCTCTCCAGCCCCAAGATTTTTATTTTTAATTATGTGTGTGCTATCTATGGAAGCTAGACACTTCAAATCCTTTTGAGCTGGAGTTACAGGTGGTTGTGAGCCAATATGACTGCCAAGAATCAAACTCAGGTCCTAGGCAAGTACTGGATGCCCTCTTAACTACCTGGAAATCTCTCTCTAGCCCACTGTCTATGCTGCAGAGAGAAACAAATGAGGTCTGTAGAGATGTTATTTATTTGGTAATTTTTGTATTATAAACCTTGGGTCTGGTAATGTTTTACTCTGTTAGAATCCAAGCATTAACCGAGTCAATTTACATAAGCTTTTTGGTTCCTTAGCTCTGGTCAAAATGCCAGGACAGGGATGGTTTTCCTAAAGAATCAGAGCAACCCTGTGGTTCTGGTAAGGACTTAAGAGCTGTGAGCATGGAACCTGTTACTTTCCAAATCTGCTCACGGGCCTGGCCTGTGCGATTCCTACCGTACAGGCAGTTTGACACCCAATACCCTATTTCTATAGTGGTAATTTAGTCTTTCAATTTTAGGGTTTCCTGTCAGCTTCAGTAGCACATGGCTGTGAGCTTGCAGCGATGAGGCAGAGGTAGGAGGACTGCTGTAGGCTCAAAGTAGCTTGGTTTACACAGTGTGCTTCAAACTGCCAGGACTATATAAGGAGATCCTGTTTTTTGTTTCAATAATTTATTTTTATGTTCATTAGTGTTTTGTCTACATGCACACCTGTGTGAGGGTGTCAGAAGTTACAGTTGAGCTGCCATGTGGGTGCTGGGAACTGAACCCAGTACTCTGGGAGAGTAGTCAGTGCTCTTAACTGCTGAGCCAATCTCTCCTGCCCCTCTGTTTTTTGAGACAGGGTTTCCCTGGGTAGGTAGATCTGGCTGTCCTGGAACTCAATGCAGACCAGGCTGGGATTAAAGTCATGTATCACCACCACAACTGGTGAGAACCTGTCTAAAGACAACCGGGGAAGGCTCAGGGATGGTGCGTACCTGCTCTGTTCTCATGTGGAACTCCTTGAGCTCATCTTCTGTGAGTGGAAGGCAACTCTCATCGTTTTCCGGATATTCCTGCCATCCCATTGCTTTTAATAACCTGGAGGAGGCAAAACAACAGCGAAGAGAACATGATGCTGATAAGCTTGACCACGAAGCCTACAAGCAACCATGGGAAACCAACGGATGTTACAGAAGGAAATTTGATTCTTCATAGTAGGACAATTTACTCAGTTGCTCATAATTAAATGGACACTCTTCCTGGTTAACAGTGTTTTCAATCTCATGGCTTTGTGGCCTCTCTCATAACCTCAGGAACCTCTCAAGTTCCTCTAGACCAGTGGTTCTCAACTGTGGGACACAACCCCTTTGTGGGTCAAAAGATCCTTTCACAGGGGTCACATACCAGATATCCTGCACATCAGATATTTACATTATGATTCATAACAGTAGCAAAATTACAGTTATGAAGTAGTAACAAGGCAGACTAGTCAATATATAAGGCCTTCGGTTAAAACAGTTGCTTGCATATATAGGATTCCCAGGCTTCTCAATGCCCTTTAAAGAGATTTTACAGTAATTGCTCAACTAACACATCTGTGGAAGGTCTTCTCTGGCCTGACTATATTCCCAAAACAAAGTCTGAAATTAAACTCAGAGAATGCCCAGTGGGCAATAGGGCTAACCTAGGCTAACAAGAGTAAGTCAGGATCTCATGGTCACACCTCAAGTTTTAAGTTTAAGGTCACCACTCATCTTCTCCGCACCTGTGCTCTGCTTCCAGAGAGTGGGACAGGACCTCCCCTTCTTCCACAATGGGTAGAGAAAGTCCATTCTGAAGACAGTCTTGTTCTCCATCTTCCTTTGGTTCGGGTGTGTGGCTGCCCTCCAACTGTAATAAGAAAAGGATGGACAGACTTACTTCAATGATCGTTTGTGGCAAGATAAGCAACCAGAATATTTTCCTCACCCTCAACCTGTGTAGCTTTTGTCCATTTAAAAATCGAGATCTGTTGTGCCAATAAACTAACTGGAGTCAAACAATCCTGAACATGCAATGCTATGGGTGTGTGTGTGGACTTCATCCCAAGGTTACTGATCTAAATCTAGTGTACAGAACAACTGAAGATGTGCAGGAGAGAGCACAGGCTGAGCATGGCAATGACTCAGATAAAGCACCACACGAGTAATCCACACAATACTCAACAACTTCATTAAAAGCAAGTTTTGCTCTGTTAAAGACACTGTTTAGAGAACGATACAGCATGACAGCACATGCCTGTAATCCTAGTATTGAGGAGGTAGAGGAACCAAAATCAAGAATTCAAAGCCAATACGGGTTATAATATAGCGAGACCCAGCACTCCTTATCTGTTAAAAACCTTATTCTCTATGATATACAAAAAAACACTTAAAAATTCAACATTCAGATAATTAACAATTTAATTAAGAGACTGAAAGTGGTGGCGCACATTTTTAACCCCAGTACAATTATTCTTAAATACTACATGTTAATGTAAAATAGTTCACATTCAAATGTTCCTTCCAATAAAACTATAGAGAAAAGTTATCAAGGTCAGGCCGGGTAAGGTGGTGCACACCTTTGAGCCCAGCGCTTAGAGGGCAGAGGCAGATGGAGCGAGAGTGAGAGGACAGCCATGAGTACATAGTGATACCCTGTCTCAAAGAGAAAGAAAACAAAAAGGACTTGTAAGATAGTTCACTGGGTAAAGGCATTTGCAACTAAACCTGATGGTTTGAGTTTGATGCCTAAAACCTCCAAGTAGTTCCTGGCCCCAATAGTGGATTTTTGTGGTACACGGACATACCCACCTGCACTTAAGGAAAAAGTTAAAAAAAAAACAAACAAACTAGCTGGTGGTGGTGCACGCCTTTAAACCTAGCACTCAGGGGGCAGAGGCAGGCAGATCTCTAAGGACGGCCCAATCTACAGAGTTAAGTTCTGGGGCAATAAGGACTACACATAGAAACCTGTCTTAAACCAAAAGTCATAAAAAACAGAGAAACAAGAATAAACAATCAAAAAACTCCACATGTAACAACTACAGAGTACAGCAAACAATTTCACATTCTTACCCTCTCCAGCTTGTCACAGTATCTGTTTTCTGAGCAGTCTCCATTCCGTTCATCCTTCAGAGTCTTCAGGAACTCACTCTTCCTGTCCGTGGTTCGGCGGGTCAGCTTGGTCAGGCGGGAGGAGCTGATCTCAATGGGAGGGGTGGTACTGGAGGGACTCTGGACAAACACCACAAACAGATTGCTCAACAGTAAACGGCAAAAACTAGGAGTCCACGAGCTACTTTGTATACCATACTGATTTTTGTCTTTTGTGTAAAAAACAGGGCTGGAGATAAGCTCAATGGTTAAGAGCTCTGGCTATTCTTCCAAAGGAACCAGGTTCAAGTCCCAGAACCCGATGGGAAAGCTTACAACATTCTGTAACTAGGGGGATCTGAGATATACATGCAGGCAAAACACCCATAAACATGAAACAATAAAACCTCCCCACAAACCAATTCACTGTCAAAACACTAGTTTTTTTATTTTATTTTATTTTTTGGTTTTTCGAGACAGGGTTTCTCTGTGGCTTTGGAGCCTGTCCTGGCACTAGCTCTGTAGACCAGGCTGGTCTCGAACTCACAGAGATCCGCCTGCCTCTGCCTCCCGAGTGCTGGGATTAAGAAGTCACTTCTTAAAACTCCCAATTCCACAATGCTTTCTTTGGCAGCCATTTGATGACAGACCTTTTATTTAGTAATCACAGATACGTAAGAAGAAGACAGCAAGCCACTGGCCACTTATCCCAGTTCTGTTGCATAATAGTTTCCTCTGAGACTGAAACTCAGTCCTCCAGGGAAGCTCTTTA